AGTGCTTAAAAATGAATCTGGAAAGGATAGGTACTGTAGAAAATGAGCCAGCGAATGAAGGAAACAGTGAGGATGATGACAATGACGATGACTAAGAGCCAGACGACGATCTCATGATCCAAATTGGGACATAGCCGAATAAAAAAAGGTAATATGTCTGTGTAGCCTAAATAAAAATGTCCTCAAAAGAGTCGTGAGAAAATCGTGGAAAAGTTGTAAAATCAACCCAACTCAATAACTAAATGCCGTAAAAAGTAGTTTTTTCCACATTTTTATGACTTTTCTATGACTTATCTGCGATCTTCCCACGACTTTTTTACGACTTTGCATGACTTTTTTTTATAACTTTTCCACGATTTATCCACGACTTTTTTACTATTTTTCTAAGACTCTTCTACGACTTTTCTTCGTTTCTTTATTGGGTCACAGGATTAATAGGTCATTAAGTTATTATAACAAATAACTTATTGAACCAATAACGAATTGTTATAGAATATTTTTTACAACTTTCTTTATACTTGAATAATTGATATTATTTTGCAGTGTTCCAAAAATCAACGGTACATACTGAGATTTAAGAATTTTTTCGTTTGTTAATTTTTATTTTTTTATATTTTATGTATTTTTTATTGAAATTTACAATTTTAAAAATAAAAAAATGCAAAAAATAAACTAAATAAAATAAAAATAACACAAAGAAAAATTTTTTTCACTACCCCGCGCATTGTCACAAGCTCTGGTTAGTGCCAATCTATATTTTCCTGCCATTTATCTATCCGATTCATTAAGGGTGTTGTTTAAAATGTTGTTATACGTCGGAGCTCTACCTTTTTAATTTGGAGATTAATCATCTTCGTTACTATCTTCTGGCTGCTCTCTCTGTCTTTGGAGGTCATTTAACTCTATTTTGACAACATAAACCGCGGAACCATCGCAAAGCTATACCTATAAAAAAAGTTATAATAATTTGATTTTTACGTCAATTAGTTGACATGTACATAAATAAATATAACAGAATTTCACCAATCAAATTTATTAAACAATAAGTGACCTTTTCACCACATTCATTAATGCATTATCGATCCTCCTAAGATTATAAAAATTGTTATAGCTTGAGAAAGGTCGAAGGTGTATTTCTCAATAGTGAATCAAATAGTGTTAGAAAACCATCGAATCATTATTAGAGAAGTGGCTGAAGATGTCGGCATCTCTGTTGGCTCGTGCCATGCAATTTTTTCCAAAGTTTTGGACATGAAACTTGTAGCAAAAAACTTGTTCCGAAACTGCTTAATTTTGAACAAAAGGATCGTAGAAGGAGCATCACTCAAGAGCTGTTAAACGATGTCAATGATGATCCTGATATGCTTAGAAGAGTCATATCTGGTGACGAATCATGGGTTTATGGTTATGACGTCAGAACTAAAACCTAATCGTCCCAATGGAAGTGTCCAGAAGAGCCAAGACCGAAAAAAGCACGTCAAATTCGATCAAATGTCAAGGTTTAGCTCACTGTTTTCTTTGATTATCGTGGCGTAGTACACCAAGAGTTCTTACCACAAGGTCGTATGATCAATAAAGAGTATTACCTCGAAGTTGCTCAAAAAACCCATGAAAGGAAGGAGATTTGGAACGATTGAGGAGATTACGATTGTATTTTTTAATTTTCCTGAATTGCTATTTTTTATTTTGCAGTCCGCCATCTTGGATCCGCCATTTTAAATTTTGATAAGATAATAATGAATTTGGATCTAATGGTGCTAAGAATTCATAAAACTATTAAATAAAGAGGATTGAAGACTATACAGTGTCTATAAAATTGTGTAAGTACGTTATTTTAGCTGACTCACCATGGCCGCCATCTTGAAAATCAATTTTCTGAGCTAATTTTGCTAATATTCATCCAATTTATTGTCACAAGACTCAGGAAAGTCATTTTTCCCGCTAAAACTTTGATTATACTTCAAAAGTGCATATTACTGTGATTTTGCAATAATTTCAGGCATTCGGGCGCCATTTTGGATTGGTTAACATTAAAAATCGAAGTTTGTCAAAGTATATTTTTGAAGTACAACTTTTGGGTCCCGCATTCTTATGAATGAAGAATGTTCTTGAGTGCCGAAAACATAGTTAAAAAATGCATTAAAAAAAATCGAAAATCTCCATTTTTTTTGTTTATTGTTAAAAATAAACAATTTGTGCCCATTTATTGATAAATCTGGCGATGCCATTTGAAAGATGAGACTTTTATACACAAGAATATGTATCCCAATATTTTTTCCACACGGGTAATTGAAAGGCACGAGCTTGAAGTTGACGTTATATTTTGGCCATTTGCACGTGAAAGGGTTAAAAGATTATTAAGTTATGACTGATCGAAAAAGTTAATACCTAAGTGACTTCCGTCACTAGTTCTAATCCTGTAACTCCTTGAGATATTTAGTTTATGGAGATCAGGTTGACTTTCTGTATTTTCCGAAGGCATATCAAATTCTACCTCTTCAATTTCGATTTTCAGATCTGCTTTACCCTCTAAACTATCATCAAGAGAATGATGTCCAGTTTACTAAAGGCTTCGAGATTCCTTTCTCGTACTGGCTTTTTAACGAAAGCAACTGATAAATATATGATTCTAATCCTATTCTTTGAATTATATCCATCTACAGAAATTAAAGAAAAGTAACAATCATCTACATGATTCCGAGGTTCCCGCCAAATTATAGGAGAAGTGAATGGTTTCTTTCTTCTATTATCATTATGCCACTGACTAAAAAATGTCGCACAATAGGTGCATAAAGTATTCGGTATACAATTTTTATCGAAATAAATCATAGCATTTGGGTAACAACATTTATATACATTTCTAAAGTGATCTCTGAAAGTATTTCTATATTTTTTTTAATAGGACTGATATCAAAGTTGTTCTGAAAAGAACTGAATTTTTGCAAAGCCATTTTGCAAAGAACTGATTAAAAAGTAGTTCTTAAAGCAACTTATTGAATAGTAGTTCCGAGATAAACTGTTATCAAAGTATTTCCAAAAAGAACTAATTGAAAAGTAATTCTAAAAAGAACAAATTGAAAAATAGTTCAGAAAAGAACTGATTGAATAGTAGTTCTGAGATGAACTGTTATCAAAGTAGTTCTAAAAAGAAATGATTGAAAGTAGTTCTGAAAAGAAATGATTGAAAGTAGTTCTGAAAAGAATTGATTGAAGAATAGTTCTGAAAAGAACTGATTGAAAAGTAGTTCTAAAAAGAATTGATTGAAAAAACGTTCTAAAAAGAAGTGATTGAAAAATAACTTTAAAAAGAACTCAAACAAGAGTAATTTTAATATAACTGCGTGAGTTAAAGGCTTTCGGCTGAAAGCTTGCGTGTTTAAAGGTTAGGGTGTTAATGGTTGAGGATTAAGACCTTTGTAGTTAAGGGCTTGACGTTGAACAGCTTTAGAATTTGAAGGTTTGGGGTTGAATTGTTTAGGAGTTAAATGTTTGAGGGTTAAGTGCTTTGGGGATTTAGGTCTTCGTTTTAAGGACTTGGGGTTAAGCTTTGGTGTTAAGCACTTCAGGTTCAATCGGAGGTCTGGGGTTTATGGGATTATGAACTAAGATTACGATTGTCTATAAATACGTTTGTCGTTTTTTCGAATTTACTCGGAATTCTGATGTGCTGGAGCAATTCTAAGTAAATATTCGTGATCAGCTACTCAAAAAACATTATGTCTACTTAAGGAAGTCCAAGAGCACTGCGAAAAAAATTTTGTGGTCCCGTGATTTTTTTGGTAACTTCGTGAAATAATTCTTTGATAGGATATATTTTTGTTTCATTACACCACTTACGAAGATGGGCGGTGATCTTGGCATTATTCTTGTTTTCCTTGATGTTAGGGAGATTTTTCTAAATTTTTTATTATTCATGTTTATATCTAACACTGAATGGATTTTCTATATCAACTGATGCATTTAATAGAATAAGATGGTGTAAATCCGACCTAGTAATTTCTTTTCCTATAAAACGTTTATCCCAGGTAAAATCTGAACTTTATATACGTTAAATTAAAGGTAATATAAAAAAGCATCTTTTTGCAAAGTATTTTTGTTATACCATCAAAAGTTTTTGAAATATCCGTATTTCAAAAAAAGTCAATTTTTGCCATTTTCAAAAATAGCGGGGTAAATCTGATTCCCTACTTTTTAGCTGAGTTTGCACAGAAATAGTTCTAAATTAACAGTTTTTTCACTTTGTTTACATAAATAAATAATTCTATACACATAAACAATAAAAAATATGCGGTCGAATTTACCCTACTACGCCATGTTTTATTTAACATACGAGTACTTAGAAACAATTTACTCGAAATTTTTAACAAAAACGATACATCAATTGAATAGGTCACTAAATGCACTAAAAAATCACTTACCGTTTTTCTGCGATTGTTTTATTTAATAAGATAAAACTACTGATGCAATTTGCACGAAAATTAAACTGAAAAGATTTAAATAACACTTGTTGTCTTTTGAGCGTTTCAATGTCAAATGCGATAAAGCTGTCAAAGGTGACATTTTCATTATTTCGAATGCCATTTATATGGTAAGACTAATGCAAAATCGCTCCGCTTTGCCATTTCTCACAAATAGAGGGAGGTCAGGTTTATTCACCCAGTCGAATTTATCTTATCTTACCTTATATCAAGCCAGTAATTTTGAACGTTAGTTTGTCTTTTCTTTATAATTTTATTTTCTATAGAGCCATTCCCATTTTGTTGTTTTTTGCTCTTTTTCACACAGTTATTTCTTTTTTGCTTGTTTTTTTGCAAGCCCTGTCCAAACTATTAAGTGTTGGTAATGTTTTACGATTAATTAAGCAGTTCAATTAAACTGCACTAGTGTATGTCCGGTTTGCACGAGTGCTAGCACTCGAATCAATATATTTTTAACATATTTTTGTTAATATCGTTTTTTAATTCTCTATTTTTCTAATTTTATTATTTTCTTCTTTTCAGATTTATTGACGTTTAGGAAAGAAAATAAACAAGGAAACACATTTCCTCCACCGGATGAAAACGCCTAATCTCTACAAGTTCCTAATACCGAAGGTTTGGACCGAAAATTAATTTTCAATAGATAAATTTTCAGCTGTCTATGCCGGATGAGATTGATGACGATAACATTTGATAATGTCGATAAAACTGAGTTGTCAGAAGACGAAATGCAACTTATTTTTGTAAGTATAAATTTTTATCAATATATAAATATATGCAATGATAGTTCATATGTATGACATACTCATATCTTTTGTAATGGGGTGAGCTACGCGGTGCGAAGGTCTGCGGTCAAGTTTCTTCGTCTATGTACGGATCAGCACGAGCTATGCGAATATCGCCGCACGGTGCGTAATGGCGCACATATTAGCGGTACTCTGTGTGCTTTCCGTGGGCTGCTCTCACTGGTAACTGCATGCGCCTCCTTTGCACCGAATTTTGCACCGAGACCTTACCGTGGGCGTGGGCCCTTGCTTTCGGGAGAAGTCCTCGTTAATTGCTGCCTGTATCTTTACTGAGCAGCTTCAGCCTTGCTCGAAAGTTTAACTGAATTCTGCTAGCTGAAATGGAACGCATAAATACGAAGGCGTATGACAGAAACGAATATGCGAGTATAGGAATGAGCACTTTTGAAGGGTCAGTCAATGATTAAATCAGTCGTTCTTAATTGTCACGACGGTATTCTTTATTAGATAATGGTCCGGTTACAAATTGAAGCATGTACAACGATAATACTTTTTAGCACGTGGCAGTTGCGAGCGCCACCATCTTGTCCGCTGCCACATGCACGCAGCGATATTTCGCCTACGGATGAGCTATAATCCACGCACAATTATATCGTTGCAGTTTCTGAGCTTGCGTGAGATAGGCTGTCGATTGATCTCGAACTGCGCCTTGTATTATACAAGTAAAACAATGACGGATCACGCGGGCGTATTGCGCGGTGCTGGCTAGCTGATCTTGCGAGATCTGCTTTTTTTCGTCGCTCAGGTTATTTCAATCACGGGAGGAGATGGCTACACACAATTTCTAGCGTTCTCTGGAGTTCGCTCAGGATGCCTTTTGTGTTCTCTATTGGGGAAATAGCGCATACAGTAGCTTCCGTGTTCGTCCGACATCGAAGCTCGAGAGTCCGGAACATGAAGAGAACGTGCGTGTCCAAGGGCAATCTACACGACTGTTATCTGTGTATTACTTTCTCTTCTCTATCCACGTGTACGCGACGCATGCCCTCACTTCCTAGCCGGTAGGTGCTGCCCCCACGAGCAGTCCCATCGACGAAACGAGTGCGCAAATATAACGTTCATTTTGTTTATTTCATCACTATACATTGATTTTTTGGTGGAGTTCCATCCGTACATTGACGATCACAGACGAGCAGTGATGCAATGAAGATTCACCGAAGTACTTAAGAATCGTATGAGGGACAGCATACTACGTATGTGATGTCATGTGTACGTTACAAGGATTGAGCAATAAGTCTTTAGGAAAAACTAGAATGACTATTTTATTTAGGTGGATTATTTTTTATTTTTCAATATTTTGTGTTTCTAACCTATCAGAAAAATATGATTTTAGGAGTTCCTTAAAATAGTTATTTTTTTATTTTTCAAGGAGAAGCAAAAGTTGTTCAATTTGATTGATGATAAAAACGGAACCACTTAAAAAATTTAGCTGAATATTTAACAGCACTCTAGTTAGAAATGAAGCCTGCTGTAGCAACATAAATTGTGATACCTTGTGTGTCATTGATTTTAAGGACTTATTGACCTACTCTCGTTTTATAAATGCTATGAAACAATACATATGTCTGCATCTGGTTTTTAAGTGACCAAATGCTCCTCAATCCCTCCCAGAGCTTCAAAATTGGTCGACCAGCACTGCCAGCGCCGTATTACTCTTACAGTACCAGCGCGACATTCTAGAATGTCTTCTAACTTGGCTTTTGCTCAGCTCTAATTGAATTGGAATTGCTACTGGTGTGGAAAATTAAGATAACTTCGAAAAAATTTGTTATTACACAAGCGAAAATCTGAATAATCGCACTAAATTACGAAATTTATTGCGAATATTCGGATTATTTGATTTATTTGATGACTGCCGAAAACATCAATGTAAAAACATAAAATGGATGTGAAATGAAAAAAGTACATGTATGAATAAAATATATTGAGGACTTCATTTTCCGGGGCATGTTGAAATAATAATTTTAGAGACATGATATTCGGGCACTCATTTATTCGAGGACATCACTTTCAGAGAATAACTAATTTGGAAAAACAATCATTCGAGCAGGTATTTTCTGGGGAATGATCGGAAAGGTCATAATTATACTATGTCCATTTTGGAGGTGATATTACTAAGTAGAAAGAGCAACGTGGGAGCTGGTAATGACATCTACAACATGGGTCTCCTCAAGTGAAAAAATGTTCACCTACGATAACGACGAATTCGGCTAGGACAGTTCGATTCTTTATACCTTGTAATTGAAGAAAATGTAAAGGGTAAAATCGAAGCTGATTGACGGGTGACAACTCGCGCGAGGCGAGTTTGTCCCGTACGAAGGTCTTTCAACAGCCGAGCGGCCTTTGACTCGGGCGGCAGTCAGGCTCTCGGGCACCCCGTCCCGTTCGCGCGTCAATAACGAAGTCTTCGTAGATTTGAATACGGGATCCCGATACCGCGATCGTAAGATATTCGATCGGACGTATTCGTATATATCTATCCGTAATTGATTATATATAAAATAAGCAATAACGGGGAAGCATATGGATATACTCAAGCGCGATTAATAGTACTTATAAAATTTATTTTATAAAGCTCAAGTACACGAATAAATGATAGAGTGAAAATAGAATATATATATATATATATATATATATATATATATATATATATATATATATATATACAAGGTGTCAAATAAGTAACGGAACAAGGCTGTAGCTTTTTAGGTACAGATTATTAGACCAAGGTCAAGGTCATTCCTTTAGTAACTTTCAACGCGGAATCCGATGGTGACCTTGGATTTGTCCTTGAGATTGACCTTCAAGGTTATTTCAAGGTTAACTTTGTTTTTTTAAATGGGAACCCCTATTTTTGACAACGGCAATCGAAAGAGCGGAAAATTTTACGTCCAAAACGGTATTTTTAAATTTTTTTTCATGGCCTTGAGAAGGTCGATTTAAGGTCAAATGCTTGAAAAACTGCCTAAAAGCGTTTTTTTAATTTTTAAGATATCGAAAAATGACCTCTACAAAATTTGTTCAGAACAGAGTAGGCCACCCAATGCACCAAAAACCTTTGACCTTTAACGTCATTTTGAAGGTCATTTCAAGGTCGAAGTGTTTTTTGTAATGGAAACCCCTCTTTTTGACCCCGGATTCGCATATAGCGCGAAATCAGAAAGAAACATTCAAAACGCAGTGAGTGGAAAAAACTTATCCGGCAAAAAAACTGTACCTATGTCTCTGCTTGCTCCTCATTTAAAACAACTTGACTTTCGGTTTGGATAACCCGTTACTTTATTATTCAAACAATCAAAGGTCAAAGATAAGGTCACTGTAACATGCTCTCAGTAGAATTTAATAAATTTAGCCCGAAACATTTTGTAAATGTTTCGCGAATAATATTGGATCTAAATTTCACATGACCTTAGCGATGAAAGTCGTGGATCAATCGAAACTCAACATAATACCTTATCCAAACGTCGGATTTCGCGCTATGTGCTAATCCGGGGTCAAAAAAAGGGGTTTCCATTACAAAAAACACTTCGACCTTGAAATGACCTTCAAAATGAGGTTAAAGGTCAAAGGTTTTTGGTGCATTGGATGACCTACTCTGTTCTGAACAAATTTTGTAGAGGTCATTTTTCGATATCTTAAAAATTGAAAAAACGCTTTTAGGCAGTTTTTCAAGCATTTGACCTTCAATCGACCTTCTCAAGGCCATGAAAAAAAATTTAAAAATACCGTTTTGGACGTAAAATTTTCCGCTCTTTCGATTGCCGTTGTCAAAAATAGGGGTTCCCATTTAAAAAAACAAAGTTGACCTTGAAATAACCTTGAAGGTCAATCTCAAGGTCAAATCCAAGGTCACCATCGGATTCCGCGTTGAAAGTTACTAAAGGAATGACCTTGACCTTGGTCTAATAATCTGTACCTAAAAAGCTACAGCCTTGTTCCGTTACTTATTTGACACCTTGTGTGTATATATATATATATATATATATATATATATAGACGCGTGTTCTTCGCCTCGCGTTGTCTATTATCTATAAACAATATGGTACTCACTTATTTTTTAATAAAGTTATTGGCGTTCGGTCCTTTATATATTATTATTGTTTTTTATTTATATGGTCTTTCTTCCTTTTGTTTTTAAACGGATTGTATGGTCCGTCAAATGTATGCGTAAATATGTATGTGTCCAATTGATACAGTGGATTAATATATTTTCTTGGTCCTAACGGCGTGAACAAATTGCCTGTATGATTGCAGTCTTTCTTTGGCTTTTATTAACACTCAAGCTCCGATAAAGTAAACTGAACTAAACTTGTAATTAGGTAAAAGAATAATACCGGATAACTCGGACAAATTAAACCAAACTAAATTTATATTTCAATTGGCGAGATAAACTCTGAATTCGGAAATATTGCGGCCTTCTTGCTCTGGCGCTCAGTCCTGACTGACTAAATTCAAGCTCCATTGTTTTCACCGGTTTATTATATATTATTTGTCCCTCGCATTCCGTCTCTCTCTCTCGCACATATGCTTTAGACGTTTACACTTCTCGAATCGGCTCGTATTACTTAGCTAAGCACGCTGACTGCAGCATGCTGTCGCGGCATGCTGCAGCAGCGTGAATCAGCCTCTGCCGCTCATTCCTACTGAGCCGCGCACACGAATACTGCTAGCTATAGTGTTTTATTGCTATGTCCGAACGGAATTCGCGAGAGCGAAATCTTAATTTTAAAATATAATTATAACATAATGGAACGTCACGTAACACTGATTCTTCTCATGAAATATGTGAAAAATAACAAATAAAAAAATTAAAACAATTTTTTTGTTAAAATGGTTTTATTTTCTGCAATAATTTAATTTTATAGTACATATTATATGAACAATTTTATTCAATGCTTTGAAGGTAGAAACGAAGGGCGTCAATTTGAGTTGTCCAG